AAATTGCTGTCAAAAGTTTAAAATTTTAAAACTACTAAAGCGATTTCATCGCTCGAGTTCTGACGGCTGATATGTTATGTTCTATATCATCTTTGCACTACAAGCACCACATTAACTAATTTTTGACGGTTTTAAACGACGGTCCTACTGAACTAATTAACTAAGAGGTGATGTATGATGTTTGGAATAAGAGAGTAGATAACAGACAACAATTATTTAGTAAGAGTTAACGAAATATATGAACAGCCGTATAGATTTGGCTTTAATGAATAGCAACTTCCAACTTTTTCTGACTTCTTTAAAAGAATTTTATACTATAAAATGTCTTAGTTTCATCTCATTGAATTTTACAGTGTGACGAATATGTTTTTTTTCTAGATTTATCATTATGTCATGTAAGCTTCACTAAGCATACCTGTTGGTGTTTAAGTCTTATCGTTTATTTTCACTTCTTAGCTGAACAGGATGATTTATCAAATCTTCCATATAAGTCAATCGAACATATGATTACTTATGAAGATAAAATATGGTATCGTTATCTGAAATTAAGTGGTTATAGTGTGTGTATGTATGGAGTAACTTTTATTATTTCGTGTAAATATGGTTACGATGTTTAGTTAAAAAAGATTATCTGGGCTGTGCACTGTACTAGCTCATTCTGAGAGATTAGGTGCAATGACTCTTGTCTATTCCAGTCTACCAGAAGCACTATGTTTGAATTTTCCTTATTTTCAATAAAGTTTAAACTAACTAAAGAAACTCGTCACTGTTGCCAATGTGGTAAACATATTAGACATATTAGACGAGACTGTCAATCAAACCAAAACCATTGAAACTAGCTGTAGGATCGGTCTGCAATGGTCCCGATCCTAGAAAGAAATCCGAAAAACCATTGCAGAAACGCAAAAATCCATCATGTCCAGTTATGATAAAAACATCAGTTAATGAAAAACGAGTTGAAACTATGGTGGATACAGGATCCGCGGTCTCAATAATTCATGGAGAGCTGTATCAAAAACTTGCAAAGAAACAACAAACGCTGCTAAGATCTAGTACACATCAGACAGCCAACAGCACAGATCTTACTACAATTCGACGAGCTTAATTGAAGTTAAACTTGAAGATAGGAGAGCTGGTTACGTTACCACATATACTATCATAGTAGACGTTGAAATATCATCACAATTATGTACATCTCTCTTGCTTGGCCGTAACGGACATTTGAAAATAATATTGATATTTTGGAATCTCAAAACCGTATTCAAGTAAACCGATAAAACTTTTATGTATCATTTGAGGATTGTGATGACCAATACTATTCAGTCTATGTACTGAAAAACATTACCTTGAAACCAAATGAACAACAGTTTGTACCAGTTCGCACGTCAGTCCCGATGGCAAATACACTCTTTTCCGACAAATTGGCTACAAACGAAAATACCACCACATGTAAACAGTGCAATCAATCATTTTCAGCACGTAGTCAATTGCTTCAACATTTGTACAAAAACAAACATTTTATACC